TTTTTTTTTTTTTTTTTTTTTTTTTTTTTTTTTATCTGAGACACAGTCTCCCAGTAGCCCCAACTGGCCTGGAACTTACTATGTTGATCAGTCTGGTCTCCATTTCATGGAGATCCATTTGCCTCCAGAGTGCTGGGATTAAGGGTGTGTGCCACCATGCCTGGCTAAAACATTGTTTTTAAACTAAAGATGTCTGTATCATTGAAGAAGAATATGAATTACTTCTTGGCATGTCAGAATATCCTTTGTCCTTTTATTGACTAAGAATTGACAAAAAAGCAAACATTATTAAGTAAATTCATTTCTGGACTCCAGAAGCTGTGTGTATGTTATCTAAGGTGTTCAGAAAACACTGTCATACTATTATACAGATTTACAGACCAGCAAATAGGCTCAGAGAGGCTAGGTTTCTCAGGTCACTCAGTCAGGGGCCTTAGCCAAGACCTAAACTCTGGTTCCATTATTGAGAAAGACGCTACCCTTTGTTTTGTTTCTAGTGCAGCTGTTTCTTATCACGAAGAATATGAGTGGAGGCTCAAGGTGGTCATCCAAAGATGTCTTTCCTATAGACCATGATTACAGACGTTACATGTAGGAGAGTAGGATGAAGCCCTGTTTCCACCTCACCCTGTGAGTGCATCTGTGAGCTGGGAAGGAAGATATATGTAGGAATCTGTGGTTTCTGTCTCATGGGCACCACTGAACCACACACCATCATGATCTAAAGAAAATAATCTGAGTATAGACCACACCCTCTCCCCATCCAGGCAAAAATCAATAGGTTGAATGAGCCCAAGTGCTGAGAGAAATTTAAAATAGCAAAAGGAAACACGGTCTTTAAAAAAATCATCCCTAACTTTAGGTGTACAAAGTAACATTTCAGTTGGAAAAATACCCTTGTTTTCAATCTCAAAATGTTTTTGAATAGTGAGTTTCACTGTTCTTGAACTCTACTAAGAAATAGTTTTCTTAACTCAATTTTAGCTATATTCTAAAAGTAGATATCTTCTTTAATTAAATCTATTTCAAAGTCTAGATTTTTTTGAACTTGGTTATGACTGACTTCTTTATTTTCAGATGTAGATGTGTTTTGACATACATAATAATAATAATAATCTTTGAAGATGTTTTAGCATATGAAATTCTAAGAAAAATCTTTAATGAGTTATTAAAAAAGTAGGTATGTCGATGGGAAGTCAAAATACATTTCCCCCATTATATTATTTTTGAGTTCTTATATTCTATGTTACATCCAATGTCTGTCATATATAAATTTGCATGCATGACACATGTAAGGAAATGGCTATGGTGGATTCAGGGCCGTACACCTTGGGAAACAGCAGGATAGTACATATGATTTTCGAGAATGCGATTCTATCATAATAATGGAATCACTTATGATTACTTACTGTTCTAGTTACTTTTCTGTTACTGTGATAAAATGCCCTGACCAAAAGCAATTTAGGGAAGAAAGGGTTTATTTGGCTTATAATTCCAGGCTATGGTTCATTATTGGGGGAAGAGAAGGCAAGAATATAAAACATCATGCCCACAGTCAAGAGCAGAGAAAGACTAGACACTTGAAACCTCACTTGCCTCTTGGCCCTCAGCTAGCTCTCTCCTCTATTATATAGTTCAGGATCCCCTAGTTCAGCCTAGGGAATGCTGCCACCCACAATGGGCTGGGTCTTCCGACATCAGTCAACAATCAAGACAATCCCCTAAAGACATGCCCAATGCTCAAACTGATCTAGATAACTCTTCATTAAGACTCCCTTCTCAGATGATTCTAGGTTGTATCAAGATGACAGTTTAACCAGCACACTTACTATAGTAATGACATTAATACTGGTCAGTTGATAACTTTTAAAAAATAATTTACTTGAGAATAACCTCTATTTTTGTTAATAAGCCATGTTTCTTGCTTAAAGGAGCTTTGCACTTTCAGAGGAATATTTCAAGATTACGTGAATATTTTTCTTTTAACATCTTGTGTTTTGGTAGAAACTTAATATTTGTTTTCTGCATTAATGAATTTATCAAATGCATACTTACTGAAACTTTGTGCTAGGCCTTTTCTAATATTGGGAATAGGTCCCAATACAAAGTATCTGCCTTAAGGTGTTTTTAGATGAAGGCATTAAACCAACAAATGAAAATATGAGATATTTCAAATATTATGCAGAAAATTAAGATGGGTAAGAGTAGAAAGAATAACAGGGGAAACTGTCTAAATATAATGCAGTCCTTTGAAGGCCTTGCTGATGAAGTGGCTGACATTCATGTATCCTGGATAATGAACAAAAATGAAGATTTAACAGGCCCAGTGTTTTTTATCTTTAGGGTAGAGAAGACAGCATTTGGATTGAGGGAATGTGAAATTGAAGCTTTCTTAACATTGGACCTAGTAGAGCTGGGGACATGCGGTATGTGCTCTTGACTCTGATTGGTCCACTGAACATCCTTTTCCATGCCCTTTCACCCCTCTTTGACTCTATGACTGGGTAAATATTGGTTGACACTACACCTCCCATAATCAGTGCCAAAGCCATATAGCTGTATGGCTTTTAGATCCAGTTTTTAGTAGCTGCTTCTTTATCACTATTGTTTGCTTATATTGATGTGTCCTGAAGTAATTATTGAACATGCTTTTACAGTATTCTGGTGAAGCAGCCTCTTTTGATGTTATAGATTCTCAGTTTCCATTTTTAAAAATTGTATGTATGGTGTATGTGTGTGTGTGTGTGTATGTGTATGTGTGAGCATGCCACAGTGCACATGTAGAGGTCAGAGGTCAACCCCAGGTATGTGTCCTCATTTTTACTTTGCCTGAAGCAGGTTTTCTTTTTTTCTTTTTTTCTTTTTTTTTGCTGTCTGCCAGTTTGTGTCTGGGAGAGCTGGCCCACTGCACACTCTGGGTTAGCTGACTCACTGAGTATTCTGGGATAGCTGGCCCACTGCGCACTCTGGGATAGCTGGCCCACTGCGCACTCTGGGATAGCTGGCCCACTGTGTACTCTGGGCTAGCTGACCTGTATGAGATTCTGGGGACTTTCCTGTTTTTGGTTTCCAGCTCATCATAGGAACACTGAAGTTACAAATGCACAAATACACTACTGCACCTGGCTTTATGTGGGTTCTGGGAATTTGAACTTGGGTCTTTGTGCCTGTGTGGCAAGGATTTTACCACTGAGCCATCTCTTGCCCATCCCTTTTCCTTAAGTAGTTCGTAATTATAGTAATATTAATGACATTAGCAATAAAAGCTCTCTTGAAACCCCCTTCATAGGCTGGATAACTCTAGGCAGAACACAGCATCTGTTTCCACAAGGTCCCAGATCTACCATGCTTCCTGCCCCTGAGCTGCCTTTAGCCTGGATGACTGGCAACTGCATCAGGAAGTAGCATCATCTTGTGTCAGCCTGGTTCTGTGGAAACTGCACATCTGCATTCTCCCTGTTCTAGTCTCATCTTGGTCAATTATGGAAACTATTTTGTCAGCTCCATGTAATTGAACACACAGCTTTTATTTTTTAGGCAAATTAAACTATTCTTATGATAGATATTTTATGTTTGGCATGAAGCTATAGTCTCTGTGAAAATAGCTTCCAACTCTAACTCCCTAGTGATGCACACAGGCACAACTAAGGCTTATTGGAGAGCTTATCTTGTGATAGAAACTTTGCCAGGAAGGTGCCAATCCCCTCCCTTTCAAAAATCTAATATTTCCAGGACATTCTTTATGTGTTTAATTCAAAGCAATGTTTTAAATCACCCAAGGCTCATTCGTACCAAAATACTTTCCATCATTATCTCTCAGACCACCGTGTGTTTTAGAGCTATTTCAGGTTTGCAAAACAGTCAGGGACTCTGAACATGGAATGATCCAGAACCACTTGATTCATTCGTGTGTTGCCTTTATTTCATTTGTTCCTCAAAGGAAAAAGGAAAAGAAAGTCCCAAGTTCATTTTTCAGTGAGATGATGCCTTTCAGTTGTCAGTAAATTGCATCTTAAAAGCAAGAGTGCTTCTTTGGATGATGGAATCAGAGAATGAAGTATTACTCCAATTTAAAATGCTATTACCTGCCTGCATTCCCAGTATTGTTCCCCTTAGAAGCACTGTTCCTACATAGGAAGCCCTTTTTAATTATTTCCTGCTATTTTCTTCGTCACCCAGGGAGGCTCATTAGAGAAATAAAGCCAGGGTAGGTACATTTGACAACAAGAGACAAATTGATGCTGCCTCAGAGCTTGCTGTGAGACAGTCTTCAAGTTTCTGTTCCAGAGAGTACCTCTGACTTGCAAAGAGATAGGCTTGGATTCTGTGTCAGGAGTGACATATGGCTGGTGTTCAGCACTGTCAGTGTCTGCAGAGGGGTGCCTATATGCAGCCAGGACAGGAAGAACGTGAACTCACAGTCCATATGGAAATCTGGTATTTTTCCACACCTGTTTCCATAAGCTAGTACTGCGTAATGTTTATAAATAGATTGTTCCTCAGTCCTTCGAGCCCCTCCCGGGGACACGTTCCCACCCGTGGACTCTCTTTACTTATTCTTCCTTTTCTTCCTGCTTTCCCTTTATTGGGTGATAGTTACTCTTGTCAACTTTTTTGCTTTAGACAAGTGAAAGTGGAAAGGTAAAGATAACAGCTTCTAATAGTAGCTAAAAACAGCCTTTCAAAATACCAAGAGCCTCCTCCTTTCTCTCTTACACACTCTCAAGGCATGTGCTATAATACTGCTTCCTTGCAGTGTAAAAGGCATAGAAGATGCTGAACCTCACCTCTACGGAGTTCAAACACGATAGAAAATGACTTCACTAGAATTACTCACTGTCTCTTACAACCTTCCTGCTCCCTCCTCCTTGATGATCTCTAAGCCTTGGGAGGAGGCAAAATGGGAGGAATGGACTTAATCAAAACACACTGTACTCTTGTATGAAGTTCTCAAACAATAAATAAAAAATATATCTAAAAAATGAAATAAAACTCCTTACTGTCATCATGCCATCCAGAAGCCCAGTCTCAGGCCTGGGAGGGGCCTGCAGTCTCTCCATGGACCACTTCTCAATGATGGATGACACGTGAGGGTTGTCAATATTCAACAGCCGAAACCCAGTCATATTGACACCGCTGTATCTATAGAGCTCCAGATCCAAAGCAAACAGGTCCTGTGTAGTGTTAAGACAATAAGAGCAGAAGTTAATTAATTAATTTGTATCTAAAACATCAATAATTAATTGTTGATGTTTTAGATACAAAATAAAATCAAGGATTACAAAAGCAACAAATAGATCAAAACACAAATGGCAGTATTATCATACCCTGTTTATGAAAGTCTATTTCCCATTGTTTTTAATTCACATGCTCACTGAGACACTCTAAGGCAGTGAGCAGTTTTCATTTTTTAATTCATTTTTTTGCATTATTGTTAAGTTGGGATAAACTAAGAAGAGGCATTTGCCAATAATTAGTCTAGTTTCAACCAGCCTAGTATATGCTATTCTGAGAACTAAACACTCTCTTCCTAGAATACAGTCTTAGGGAGACAGAAAGGATCTTTTTGTCTCCTTGCTTCCATAATTCTGTTATAGATGGAGAAACAGATTCTCAGGGGTGACAGGACCAGGCCAAGAGTGAACCACTGGGCAGTGACAGGATGAATCTTCTTCATCTCAGTCTGTTGCTTCAGTATTCTGGGTCATGACAGGAGGTGAAATGTGAACACTGCACATGAATTTGAAGAGAGAGAACTTCTGGGAGGAAAAATGGCACCTTCTGGCTCACTGATCGTAACTCCTATTGCACTCAATGAGAGCTTATAGAATATTCCCTGGATAGGGCTCAGCATAAGAGTCTTATCAAAGGATACACTGGACCCTGTGGTTGTGTGGGTGTGAAAACATCTAAGAGAGCTCATTCCATTCCCAATATGTGCCTAACCACCTCAGTGCTTTTCAAAAGAGATGAAGGTGGGCGTAGACAGGAAGTTTATCAGTTGCCTCGCATTTCAAACAGACTCATCATCCATTTTTTCTTATATTAAAAAGTTAGAGTAAAAAAATCACTAAACATATATCACATTTGAGAATAAACCCAACTTTCAAAATAACAGTTAACGTAAAAACATTTCCCTGAAATTGCCTAACAATTGTAATGACTAGGGCAACTTCATTTTGTACAAAGTAGCCACCTTAGACTTTAAAAATCAGAGAAGCAGCCAGCTCAAGGTCTCAACTTGGTTCCAGTAAGTCATTTTCCCTCAGAAGTTTGTTTTTCTTTTACAAATAGCTGACCACAGAAAGGAGTATCACCACCCAGACATTGCAACCTTGCTTCTTGCCCACCCAAGGGAAAATAACCTAAATAATATCCTGTCTTTCTTGGTAATATTCTGAAATAATAATAATCAGAAAGCCCCCTCCTGTCAAGGTCTGTATACATCTGTTAAGAAAATGATTAACAATTGCTTGTTTTGGCTTCTGGAAACTTGCTCATTGCTGCATTTAAGGGTCAGCGTGACCCCTCTGTTCTTGCAACTGCTGGTACCACAGGAATGAAGCAGCTTGTGGTTGGTTTCTGCCTTTAAAAGACCCCTTTCCCTCTACAGCATTCTCCTTTATCTGGTCTCTGGAGACTGTCAGTCAGCTGTAGCTCTAATAAAATTTGGCTAATTAAAACCTGAATTGGGTCTAGTGGTCTTTTCCTGGTGATCTCGAACTCTGTAACACAGTCAAGCTGCTTTCTGAAGAGGAGTCCAACATGGTCCAGCTGTGGTGAGGACAATGGTGACCCCAAGGCAGTGGCCTCAGAACCCTTTACAATTGACACTGCAGAAGATGGAGACGGACTGCCTCTGTGGAAGAACTCCTCTACTTTGCTGTCCTTTCTTTTCTAAGAACGCTTTGAATCTATTTTCTTTAATGTATAAAATGTTCAATGTGCACAGAGTTCTCTAAAACTTTACTTCTTGAAAGTATCCCGGGTCTTAACCCCAGGATCTCCTGGACACAGACAGCAATGGTACTTATCAGATCAAAGAATGCTATGGTGTATTTCAGTGGCCCTTTGAATGGGTATGGAAATTATAGATGGTGCTTCTTTATGAATAGCTTTTATTTAGTGAGATTTCTCCCCCTTTCGGATGCACTCTCATTGATGCTTATTTTAAAAAAGAAAGAAAAGAAACTGGTTGCATCACAGGATTGAGATGAGTTTTAGGAGAGTAAAGTGAATCTCCATGACAATAGCTGGGCTGTGACCCTGTAGGGACCAACTGTGAAAGACATTTGCAGATGCTTCCTATCCCAGGGAATGTACTCTTGGGATGCACTCACCAGGGTTGTGAAGAAGTAGTGATAGTACTCAGTCATCATGCCCATGAACAAAATCTGCAAAGAGATACGAGGGGAGAGAGTCAGAAGCAGACTTATAATAATGACTAATGACCAGTAATGTGGCTGCAGAAACTTAGAAGCACAGAACTGGAAGGGAGTTTAGAGCCCCACAGATGGTACATCTGAATCCTGAGGCCAGTAAGTGGCTGGTGGGAAGCAAGGTAGCCTACCTCTAGCCTATTGACCTCTAGCCTATTGACCTCCCTCTCATTTTATAACATGATACTGTTGGACTAACATTGGAGTAGTTGGTCTCATGATCAAATTTAAAAATAATTTCTGTTCAAATTTTATATTTGAAGTTGTTGATGATGGCCTGGGGATTTGTCTTTTCTGTTGTCTAGGTTTCTCAATTCTCAATCCCACGCTTAGACATGTAGCATTACAACTTGGTCTTGGTCCTTAGCATCAGTAGAACTCATTCATTGTATGTCAACGTGGGAATGCTGGTATGCAGATATATGCAAATGAGGGTTTATAGTAAATGTATCGCTGAAAAATTTCTTACTACCCCTTTCTCAGCCTATCTAGCAAAACTGAGTTAGAAAGAGAGTATTTGTTCACAGATGGATGAGGATTAGCCTTAGACCAAGTTCACACTGTCTTTTAATTCTTTTTCTTTTTATTCCTGGTACGTTTTTAACATTGTTTCATGTATCCTAGTAGCATTAGTGAGCATCCAAATCTCTACCAGTCTTTAGCCAAGTATATTTTATTGCACATTTCTTTATTTTCCATGAATTTTTAGCATGCAAAACTATATCATTATGATGCTTTCATACATACATATTTTCTTTACAGTTACCACCAATCACTGCCCTCTACCTTCTTCATCCCTCAAATGGTTCCCACTCTGCGTGTACGTGTGTGTATAAATCTAGACTTTATGTATGAGAGAATATGTTTCTTGGATATTATTATTATGACCTATTTTGGATCTTAACAGTTCCAGAAGTTCTTTGTGTATATTGTTTGCACTTTGTGAAGGAGAAGAACTCATAGTAATACTTGGTAGGTAGGTTATTAAGCTATAATTCTACTTTTGTGCTCAGTACAGTAGAAAAAGTTTCAAATGACTTCTACATCTTCTAAATTAGTGTATGATCTCCCTTGCTATCTAATGGGTAGACTTGGATGCTACCCATTATTCTTTCTATTGAAATGAATTTAAAAATCCACAACTTGGCTGGGTGTGGTGGCGCATGCCTTTAATCCCAGCACTTGGGAGGCAGAGGCAGGTGGATCTCTGTGAGTTCAAGGCCAGCCTGGTCTACATAGTGAGTTCCAGGACAGCTGGGGCTACAGGGAGACCCTGTCTCAAAAAGACCAAAAAAATAAAAAATAAAAAAAATAAATCCACAACTTAAATTTCTAAAGCCGTTTTCTCTACAACTCTGGTCAATTCTATATATAAGTCAGAACTCATCTGGGAGTTTTAAAGTTATAACTTCTTCACCTCCATCACAGAGCTGTCCTGGGTGGGGGGAGTGTCAGAGAGGAGCCTGCTATAGTGGAACCTCAGTGATATACAGGAAACATGTACCTTGGCATTAAAGAACAAAGACATTTAGAACTTCATTTACATATTTAGGCACTTTACAGGACCCTGATAACTTGTGCTGCACATTGCATAGACATGCATTCATCAGACTTAGCATCATCTCTGTTGACATGGGAACCAGAGGATATTTAGTGAAACTGTAATATCTGGTGAGACAAATGGCGGGAAACTCACCATGACTCATGGGCCAATAGCCTCTTGGCTACTCCTCTGGTGTTAAGGTTAGGTGCACAGAAGGAATTTTTAAAAAGTGGACTTGTTTTAGGGCCATCAATAATATTTAGAATGGCGCATGGTGAGGTCTTGTTAGCTGACCTCTTATATTACTGGAGCATAAAGACCTGGCCTGCCAGCCTCGGCCAGGAACCCAATTTTTCACTTTGGTCATTAGTATAACTGTAGCTAAGACTATACCTTCAAAGGGCACTGCATACATTCTATGTTAAAATATAGAACTGGACACTGAGGTTTAAAATATTGTTCCTAGAACTGAAAATAAAATCAAAAGCTTCCTAAGTTTACAGCTTTAATTTGGGCAAAATTGTTCTTTCTGAACTTCATTCTGGAAGCTTTTGATCTCCTGTTGAGAACATGAGCACTTTTAAAAAAGAAAAACAATCATTTAAGTCATTATTTTTATGATTGTTTTTATAATTCCTGGAGTCAAATGTTTATTTGCTATGCATGTTATTCAGTGTTCGAAATGAGACGTGGAAACAGTCAGTAGCAGCTGGCAGGCCTGCTTTTATTGCAGAAGGAACCCTTGGGTCCTCCAGGTGTACTTTGAAATTGCTGTACCCCAAAAAATCTCTGCCTTCTTTCCTAGCTCAGTGCCTGGATCTTTACCTCTCTGACCTTTCCCTGGTTCTCTTAGAAATTAAGAAAGAAGTACAGAGCTATTGATCACAACCCTGTCAACTTTGGGAACATTCCCAACCAATTTTGTCTTAAAGACAAAATGTGACAAAGCCAATAGCCTCAAAGATTGTGGCTTTTAAACAGTGTCTGTTGTAGTGGCTTGTAGGCTGGTTGGGATGAAAAGCCCTGCCTTCAGATAGTGTGCTTTATAAATGAACGCCTTATATTAACATTATGACTTTTTCTTTGGGTGTTTGATATTTCAACTAAAAGTTATTAAAGGATTATTAAAATGTCACTTCAGGATAAATGTCAGTTTTTAAAATAAAAATATATACTCATGACAGGGAAAAAAACCCTGACTTTTTCCTATGACTGCCTTCTTTGATTTCTGATTTCCTATTTATCTGCCGAATTGCCACATGTGCTCGCTTTACCAGTTAGCACTGTTGGAACTAGTTCTGCTTCTATTTAAATCAGTGTGCATATTTTACTAGGTTAACATTGCTGAGAACTACTTGTGTTTAAACCGATGTGCATATTTTACCAAGTTAGCAATGATTGGAACCACTTCTAGTTCTGTTTAAATCATTCTCAGTGGTACAAAACATTATGTTACAAAAACTGCTGTCTAACAAATGTATCGAGTGTCCATATTTATAATATTCATTTATATTTATTTATTCTTCTTAATTGCTTCTATGAATAGGTTCTTCTTTCCTAATCAAATTATTATTAAGTAACTTTTGATATCTTATCATTGATTTATTAAAAAACTCAGCCAGACATGGTGACGCAGTTTTGAGAGCTCAGAACCGAGGAGGCTCAGGCAGACAGTTTGCAAGTTTAAAGCCAGCCTGAGTTAGACAAGAAGAAGCTAAGGGCTTGGGAGGATGAAATCTCTAGTTTGGATATCATTAATTCTGTGTATTGGTTTTCTAGCTTAGTGGACACATGACATGATTGTATTTCCTGGCCCTTGTGCTATTTTGAGGCCATGTATTGGTTCTGGTCAACAAGACAGGAGCAATAAGGACATTTGCCATATAATTAACTCAAGCATTTTAATAACATGATTATCAGTGTCAGAAGAAGTTGATTTTTTTCTGAATAAGTTACAATTCTTTTCTCATTCATAAGTACCAGGATCTTGTAAGTGATCTTGTTAACACATTTGTTTTGATTACTAGGAAGGTTAAGGTCAAAATCATGGGCTGTCCGTTAGCAACTAGTCAGGAACACAAGGTATGTTTTTCTTGCATGGACTAATGCTGTCTAGTTTATGTTTTTCTTAACTAACTTTCCCTTCCAACTCTCCACTCCTTTAAACAGTATTATCATTCTGTTTCAACTGCATCCTTCTATGCTTCCTCAATTCTTTGTAGAACAAAGATGCTCTAAATAAGTAATCATGGTTGGGACAAGCTGAATACTTTATTTTTCAATAAAGAAGGTGAACTGTTCAGATCAAGTGACCTGGGTTGGGTTAGTGTAGCAAAAAAGTCTTTTAACCAAACTCATTCTCCATCTATGCCAGTGATAACTCTCCATGGTAAGTCATACTCTGTACTGCTTGAGGATCAATTATAAGAACTCAAAAAGACCAATACCAAAAGAGGTAAGACCTGCATCTTTAGGACATTGCATTCTAGCTAGGTAACATATCCTTAAGACAAAATGAAGAAGAGTGGTCTTCATCTATGAGCAGGCTTCCTTTGTATCATGGTAGGCTGCATTAGGAAATGGTCCTTGACTACTCTTTTGTTTCAGTGCCTAGGAAATTACCACCATCTTCTAGTTGTAGTTATAATGGATTTTCAGATAGCAGAATTAGAACTCAGTGCTATTTGGTAGTTCTCACAAAGATATTTCTAATGATTCCATTGAAGCCCAATATACCCTAGGACACATCTATTACTCATTAACAATGGTGATATCACATTGGTACAGCTGCCTTCTAAAGTTTTTGTAACCCTCATAAACCTTGTATAAAACAGCATTGGTCCAGCCCTGTTGTCCTTGACAAAGACAAGTGCCTAGATTTTGATATATAACTATCAAGTAGACTGAGCATCACACAGGTCATACGGTCATATTTTTGTGTAAGATCTCATAGACATTCAGATGAAGAGGACCTGGTCTTATAAGGCAGATGGAGACCTTTGAATCCAAGCCTTTCAGAAAAATTTCTGAGTATCTGAAAAAGCCTATAATTTCAATCTGATCAATTCTCAGAAAGAAATGGCATGTTACAGAGACAGCAACAAAAATTATTCTCCACAGATTCCCAATATCCATCGTTAAGGGCAATTCATGTGTCACAACTAATGGGCATTATGTGGTTATTGTAGAAGCAAAACCTTAAAATGGAGCTTGGAGTTTTCATAGGCAGTTTTGAGGGTTTTTGTAATATTTATATAGATTTTTATTACTGCTTCTTTCCATTGAAAAATAGGTGTTCTGGAAGTTTCTATTGACTCTGCTGAGGTATATTGCTACTTTTATAGCCTTTTCAATACAAGGATAAATTCACAGCCACTAGACATGGTTTCTAGTCAATAATTTCAAGTGAATA